TCACAAGATGCTTTTGGAAAAAACAAGTCAAAGCCAGAAAGCGGCGAGATGAGAGGGGCGGAGTGGATGCGTTGATGTCTAGAAGTAAACATACAATACCCCACGCTCAGAGTTCTCCATGTGTGAATCTCTCTATCGGAGCAAGGGCAAGGCAGGTACAGGACGGGACAGGAAGGGGTGGAGCCAGAGACAGGAAACAGGAAGATAGAGAGAGACATAAAAGGGTGTGAGACTCGAGTCAGAGAGGCGGTGGTGAGAAGTCTCACACATCTGTTTTTTGGATTTTTCCATGGACGCTGAGCAAAGCAAAAACGTTGACCTGACTCGTGAGAAGCTTTAATGTCATTTCCTGGTGATCTGGTTAAACGGCGAAACATCTGCACTCTCATTCTGCGACGTTTCTCACGATCCCTGCTTTGCTGTTTCCTTTACTGTGAATCATGGACTGGTGCACAGATGCATGTGTGGAGGACGGTGGCTGTGATGCACCAAGAATGAGAGTCAGGAGAAGCAAAGAGCAGCGAGGACAAGACGACACAGAGTGCCGGGAAAATTAATTTGACTCTGTCGTCGCTGCTGATGGTGGAATAGAAAGAAAAATCGGTATTATTTTTGCAGCCAGTGTCGCAGATTGAAGAAATAAAACCATTTTAATTCATCCAGCCAAAGTTCACAGTCTCCAGTCGACTGATCTTTTTTAAATCAAAGAGACACATTTATCTTTTTTTTCCAAATGAAGTGGCAGAGACAAACTACGGCTTTGGATTTTATCTTTCTTTTTTTTTTTTTGTGGATGATTTGAAGGAACGTGACAGGATGTTTATAGGACAGAAACAATATCAGATGTATTGATGTACAGATGAAAAAGCATGAGCATGTCTAAAAAAAACAATACTATCATTCCATGTCAAGTTTATGAGCACTAAGTGAAAGAATGTTGTACTTACAGCAAAAAGTGGCTGAATTCTGTAAATACTTTATTTTTTTACATGTTTTCATTTAACTTCATTGTTGTCATGCTTTTATTTTCCCTCCCTGATATTTTATCCGTCATCTATGCCACTCGGTCGATCCAGGGATTGAACACAGAACCTCGTTGCTGGGGGGCTAACCACAGCGCCACCGTGCCACCCTCTACCTGATTTAGTAAAATTCGTAAATTCATCAGGTCGGGTTTGATTTTGCCGTCACTACTCATTGCATGATCGTACTTTGGGCACGTTTAGATTCATACATCATTGCTGAGATGCCTTTGTGTCACGCGAGATGATTTACGTGAAGAGGTGAAGGTCACTGATAACATGTCGCTGTGCTGGATGAATTTAATGCCTCATTGGTGATGGATGTCCTCTCATGTGTGCCGGAACCGTGGTGGGGAAGAAATACTTGACGTGTGTGGCTCTTTGTGTGATATTCATTTTACATCAAGTTGGGAACTTGTAGGAAGCACCGTGCTGAACAAGTCGTCGTACAACATCTGTGTTTGCTCACACATTCGTTTGAATCCTTCTCTTTGGCTAAATTTATTAATTAATTACGTCGATGACATATTTTACATCCAGTCACAAGTGGCACATGCACACAAGCTAATAAGTGAACAATCACAGCTCAGCGGAAAGGTACACATGTATACACTGTGCATATTGACACACATTCTACACACACACACACACACGCACGCACACACACTAGATTTTCCACTAAATAAACTCTGACTCTATTAAAAGATCAGAAACCTCAGCTCTGCTGTTTCCTTTCACATGTTCTTCAACATGTCTCAGTCACAAGTTTGCAAATAAAGAGACCTTTTTGTGTCTTTTCAATGGTTTGAGAGGTTTTGGTGATTAACGCTGGAGATGATGTGCCTCCAACAAAAAACACGTGACAGGTGCGTCCGGCCTCGAGCCGCTCTACCCAGACGCCAGTGAACGCTTCAGAGATTTAACTGTTTTTGTGATCAACACTTAAATGTGGACGGACTAATCCAGCTTTGTTCACGACCTTTTAAATGCACAGGAGCCCTGGTGGGGAGATATTAATAATTCAGACATGTTTTTCTGCTCAAATGCATCTTTAACAACTGGTTAATGATGAAGGGCAGATTTGCTAAGGAGGAGAATTGCATTTTATTAATAATATATTTCATATGAAGCAAGTCATAGCTTTGTATATTTACCTGCCTGTCTAGAGCGGCGTGCTTTCTTCCTCTGACCTGTTTCTTCTATTCATTTTTATTCAAATTATTAAAAAGCCTGACCAGAACACACGAGCTGTATGAAAGCATCTGATAAATTACAATCACAAAGAAAGAGACGTCTCCAGGGTCAGAACTTTAAAGAGTGTGCATGAAAGGAAAGAGTGGGTGAAATAAAGTTTTGAGAAAAAACATATTTTTCAATCAGCCTGTATTTGCAGAGATGTCACCTTTCCTCAATCACTTAGTCCGCTTCTCTGGCACCGCACAGAAAATAAAAAAGGTTTGGGGAGCTTCAGAAATATTAATTATTCACCCGTTCTCCTCTCAACCTTTTATGAAAAGTGTATCTTCCTGTGCTGCTTCTCCGAGCCCTCAGGGCCACCTGGCTGCAGAAACATCGAATCCCCATTAAGGCTTCAGTCAAGTCCGGCGCTATTCACTTTTACATTATCAGCAACAAAATAAAGTCCATTTGGAACATGTGTAACTGCGTCCTGAAAGATTAATTGGACAGTTGTGCGTGCTCGCCTCCCAACAAAGTTTTGTCACAGAATAATTTATGGGCTCTGAGAGGCATGTAAAACACTTTCGATTAAAAGAAAACACTTTTCTCTGTGCGCTCGGACGGCGGGATGAAGAATAGATGACCTGAGAAAACGGTTTCTGATATTGTCAACTTGACACTGTCCCAATCTTTGTGTCTGCACTTCATTTATCAATTTGTTTTTCTCTCCTCTGTCTCTGGCACTTGCAATAATGACGTTTTCCATTACTGTCTATTCCAGGATGTGGCTCCGTTTGAAACTGTGCATGAGCTTCGACCTTGCCTGATGACCTGGGTTAGCCTGGGTTAGCCCGGGTTAGCCTGGGTTAACATCTGAGCAGCATCTCAACTCCTTCTTCTTTTCCTTCCCCCTCCTGCTGCACCATCACTTCTTCCCTTCCTTCACTGTGGTGGTGTTTGCCCTCTAATTGGCCTTTTTATGCATATTACGCCCTGTTAGCCTGGTTAGCATATGATTAGCATATTCACTTGACCCCTGGGTTAATAAGGGCTGCCTTGTTTTCATATTTTTTAAAGCTCATACATTTTCCTGCCTTCCTCCACTTTTTTATTTATACCTTTCCATCTGGCCTCTCTGCTGTATTCCCTCCCTGCACCCTCTTCCCCGCTACCTACACCTTTCTCGTTAGTCCTGGCATTTTCCTCCTCTGGCGCCGACAGACTTTTATCCTCTTGATGTTTGGGATATTCCTTGTTAGCCTCTGATTTGCATTGCCAGCTGACTCTCTGCCCTCTCTGACTCCCCGGCCTCGTGTGCTGGCTTTAAAATGGATGTAATGTTGTATTTGGACTCAAACAAAGTATCTGCCAGTTCACTGTTTAACTGTCTGCCTACGACTCAGGGCTCTATCTTGCAAAGTGGTGCAGAGTGTGACCCAATTGACTTTGCTAGTCTCAGGCCAATGCAAGTGGTCAATTTCCTGTCCAGGGCCGGTCCATGTGTATGTAGCACTTAAACCCATCTGAGCGCCCGTAGGTGCTGTATCTTAAAATCAAGTTGGAGCGTTACTATCTTGAGTTAGAGGAAAGGGTTAGGGTTAGGAGTCCAAGGCCACAATGTGTGCGTTACCCACACAGATGATCTGCTCCTGCACAAACGGAGACAACCTCCCCTGCAGGAAACTAAGGGACTCATCTGTTCACTCAAACGACAGATGATGAAGAAACTGAGCACAACAACGTTTGAACCACGCACCTGACGCAACAACCTTCTTCTTTCCACGCCATTGATACAACCAAACGCTTTAGATCATGAGATTAGATCGTTTATATAGAGCGTGTTTGAGTGGTTTCCATTTCCTGTATCAGTAGAGTCATATGCGTGACGTCTATACCTTTATCAACATGTTCTACTTGTCAAGTACATTCTCTTCAGTGGTTGGTAGCTGCAGTTGTGAGGCTGTTTTGAGTGTGATTTGAGAAACTGAAAAAAACAAAAACCTAAATATTAAATAAATTAAATGTGAGTCCTGTAACAAAATGTATAAGAAACATGTGAGTGGGGTTGTGAGAGATGAAATGATGGATGGAGCGATACAGAGAAATACAGTAAAGGAAAGAAAGGCAGGTGATGGTGGCCAGTGTGCATGTTAACAAAGGGACAGGAAGTCAATCTTACGGTAGAATTCCTCCGGGCTTCAGATCGATCTCACCTCTATTGTTATTATTATTTATTTTGCCTTTAAGGGTTGGAGAGGATTAAGTTCATCACCAGATACTTCACATTATTGTCACCTTTTATTTTTTTTTTTAGATTTTTTGTCGACTGACACTGAAACTAAGTGAATTTAAATTCTAATGCTGATTCAACCTTTGACTGAAACCACGTTTGACCTCAAGACATTAACTTTCTCCTCTGTTCATGAATTTGGAATTTAAAAAGTCAGTCTGTCCACATCTATTACTTCCTACCTGCATGAGGACACTTTAAACTAACGTGAGGACGATCATTCTGTCTGTCAATCTACTCAGTCACAGGACTAATAGATGCTAAATCTAGTTTTTCATCAACCAACATTTTACAATCAACACAGTCACGATTATAATGTAGCCCCTGTTTTTTTTTTTGTGTAGCTGCTAATGCAGTCAGGACAGAGGCTAGCAACTGTGGAGTCTCGGGAATTGAATAGAAGATTATTTGTATATTATTATTATTATTATTATTAAGATAATAGTTCAAATGCTCCGTGCAGCAGCTTCACGTCGACGCTCTCTCCTGACGTCGGGATCATCACCTACCTGCGTTTGAAGGTGAGGACGACGCCGAGGAGGATGATGATGAACATGAGGATCCCTGCGATCACTCCGGCCATTTTCACCGTGCTGTCCACCTGCTTCTCTGGCTCCATGGCATCCGAGTCCTGAGTGGACGCACCTACACACACACACACACACACACACAGACACACACACACACACACACACACAGGTATGCACATAGTCACATTGGTTGGCAACATCTCACAAACAGCAAATTTCATACAATCACATAGAAATGACCACACATGTACGTTCACACAAAATATTGACAAACGCAAATACAATCAAGGAGTCATCCGTGCTGCACACATACACACAATGGGAATGGTTGACCCTTGTTTGTCGTCAATGAAAAACACACGTTCTCAAACGGACACACACAAAACACAAACACAACTGATCCCAAGGTGAAGATACACTTAACAATTCATCCATATGCAGCCAAACACAACTTCTGAACGTCATGGAGTGATGTGCAGAGGAGGATTAAACATATTATCGGCATGCAAAAGAAAAGACAACAAACAAATAACACGCTTTTACTGAGAAACACAGATGAGGGGGTTTGTTCACAAATGTTATTTTGAGGGGGAGGAAACAGGATTCAGGATTCAGTTTCTCGAAAAAACAGCTTCGGTTAATATGGCATCTCTCTGAAACATTTTTTTCTGTAAATTTGAATTTATTAAAGTTGTTCTTATACCAAATGTGAAAAATTTAATTACGGAACAAAATTGTTGTGATGTGTCGGTGCTAAACAGGTTTAAATCTTAAAAACCATGTTGATGAGATTTTTGACAAGATTTTTTTCGAGAATCATCTTGCAGCCAAAAGCAATTAGCGCAAGAATAAAGAGATAAAAAGAAGGAAGTAGGAGGGAGGAAGGGACAGTGCCAACATTTTCAAAAGCGACAACATATTTCCAACAACTCCAGACTTCATTCCGGGTTACAAACATTCAACACTTCCCAAGGACAAACAACTGTGGAAGTCGCACAAGAGACATCAAGGTTCAGACTCCACACATGCAGGTGAACATGCGGGACGCGCTCAGAGTCGCTTATTTATACAAGGATTCAATTCGCTGGCAAACAAATGAACAAAGCGAGTGGATGGAAAACAAATGTCTGGGAAGGCAAATACAAGGTTGTTGGGGATTTTACAGAAATGCATGTTTCTGCAGGTAAGAGACTCTGACATCGCTGTGTGCTTTGATGAAGAGGCCAGAAGGTGAATGAGAGAAGGTACAGACAGCGACAGAGGGGCGTGGTGTCAGTGCTGCTTCTGCTTCGACTGTCTCACTTCATGTTTGGTGTGAAACTCTTAATTCTGCACAATGTGATGAAAATGTATTCGATTTTATTGACTTATATAAGATTTTAGCTTGAGTCGAACGTATTTTAAAGATAAATGCATTTAAAAATACATGAAGTTACATCACAGGGAACAAAACTTACTTCACTGCAGTACTTCATTTGTACTTTTTAGCTTCTAAAGACTGAACTGTAATTGTTTTACATTTGTATCTGCAGGTGTTACTTTGGTTTGAAATTGGATTTTGTGCTTCAACAGGGCTACTCAGTGAGATTCAGGAGAAAAAGCACAAAAAGACTCTTGGTTGAACATGAGTCATGTCTTTAAGTCTTGAGGACATTTTGATTTTCCCTTTGTGGGCTGACCATGACTCAGCTTCTCTGTAGTCGCAGGTAGTTTGTGTTTAAAATGCATTGAATGAAGCACAGTGTTTTCACAGAAGAGTTTCTTCAGACGTCTGGATCTGGATATTCTCCCAGAATTCCACAGTTTCAATCAATAAAAACGGGCTGCGGGTTATTTGAGATATATTGAAGAGGTAATTTACTCGATTAATTAATTGATTAATTGCATTTCACAACGGACGACTCAAAACTCAAAAGTAGACGTTAAATAGATGTTTGTCAAAGATGGTTTCCGTCATTTTAGGAAGTTCTTATCACACTAATGTTTGTTCAAGTGTTTTCACAAAATGTGTTTTCAATTACTTATCAATTATTTAGCTATTATTTAATTAATTATTTGATGGGAAAGAATCAGGCGGAAATTGTGTGATTAGGTCAAGTGGATGCAACGGAGGGACGTCGATATAAACAAAGATGGAAACATTCATATCTGGTACATTTTGGGTTTATTTCCAGATAGTGAACGATAAGTGGAGAGGCAGCAGCCATCTTTTACACTGTCTGAGGTACTTTGTCATTCATTTTTACTGTTATTTCTCCAACATAACACAAATCAACCGAGCAACGGGTATGAGCAGTTTACCAGTTTGGTCACACTGTGACCAAAACTACATCAAAATACTAAAAACCTGCCTGTTAGGGCGACATGTTGTGTTCTTCAAACACTCGCTCCAAAGTTACACTCTCACCTCTCAAAGAGACTCTGCTCTATCGGACCGAGAGGAGAAGACGATGAAGTGAACTATTAAAACAAAACTGTCGCCCTTTGTCGGAGGAGGGCTGAACATTTTCAAGGTTCCAAAACCAGATAGATAGAAACAGAAAGACAATGGTGGTGAGGCCAGAGGGGAAAATAATACAATTAATAAAAAGGACACAACTGAGAATATGAGCACATCAAAAGGAGTGAAAGGATTTGAAGGAGAGAAAGACGGGGACAGACGAAGAGAAAAGTAAAAACAGAGGAAAGAGTGGTAGAGGATGAATTACACAGAAAGATAAAGACCCTGGGACCCTGCACACGAATGCACCTGTTCTCTCACAGACATGCACCAAGCAGCGTCTTGTTATAACCTTGACAGACAAAGGCAGTCGATTAATATAGTGATACTGCTGCGTGGGAGTTCAGTTTAATCCCCTGTCTCGCTCATCTTCGCCCCCTCCGCAATAACAACACAAGGTTGGTAGTGGAATCCACTGAGATGGAGGCTTAAGCACCTAACCTTGGCACGCTTTGTAATAGCTGCCACAGTGACGGCAGCCGCGAGATGTTCCTTTAAAAACCCTCAATGCCTTCAATGACAACACATTCAGCGTCTTTGAAAACCTGAGCACAGACACCGTCCGTGTTTTGAAGATACGGTGTGAAAAAATAATAATAATTAAGAAAATACATCTGTGGCTCTTCACAGTCTCTCCTCTCTGCAGGTCTTTGATGGGGATGAGAGGATCAGGAGACGTTTTAATGATTGCACTTTTTTAAAATGTGGATATTTCTCAGTAAACAAAACAAAAAAACAAAAAAAAACAAGGTATTCAGAGGATCCTGAATGTTTAATGTCTGATTTAAAATACAGCTGCCGACTTTCATCTGTGGCGCTGCAGATTTCTTGATGCTCAGCGGAGGATTGAGGAATGTGTCTTCATCGACACTGATCGGCTCCACACACTGGATCATCTCAAGGTCCACTTCAGCTCACACGAGAACAGGGAAGGTGTCGTGAAAATGGAACAGTGAAGAACGTGAGTTGAAATAAGTGGAACGCTTGAATCTGTTTCAAACCTGAACGACTGCTGGGGACGGACAGAGTTCGTCCGAGCAGCACTTGATCTGCGGAGAATGAACTGGCTTCATATAGCAACCGCTCACGCTTCTACCACTCTACACGCAGTGCACAGCAGTCATCACACCAGCATTAATCACCAGCATTCTGGTTGGTGGACGACCCGCTCTGACCCCTTAGCCACGGATCCTTACGTGTTTCAAACTAATGCCACCAAACTTACTTGTCAAACAGACAAAGAGGCAAAATCAGGAATGTTTCAAATCATTGTGAGATGGACAATCTTTCTGATATGTTCACTTCTGCTACTACTACTACTACTACTACTAATACTACTACTACTACTAATACTACTAATACTACTACTACTTCTACTTCAAACAAAAGCTTTACTTGTCTGTCTTCTTGCTACATGTTTTCTTGACCGATGTATTTTTAGACCATCAGGTGCGACGTGCATCAGCGTGCAACCTGCTGTTTTAACATCATGCAGAAAACAACCTGACGACCTGTGACATTGCAATCAGCAGAGGTGTATAGTGTGTAAGTGTGTATTTCAGCGTGTGTGTGTGTCGAGCACATTACGGTGACTCAAGGGGCCTCGAGCCGTCACGTAGAGACGGGTTCACATATTTCCCCGTAGTGTGTGCGCCCTGGTAATCACCCCACAGGTGTATTAAACTTCAATCCCCCTCCTGAGTGATCCGCAGTGTGTGTCACCTGACACGTTACACCACGACCCCATTTGTTCACACTTCACCAGCCCACGTGCTGATTGGGTTCAACAGTTCATAATGTAACAGTAAGGAACACCATCTGGCAGCGGGTTCAGCTCCATTTAACATCGTGATTGGCCCGTTTGGGAGCCACTCAGCCAATCAGCCAAACTCTGACAGGGTTCTGACCGGGGGGCGGGCGGAGAAGTGATCTAATGCAACTGAGTCCGTTAGGGGGGGGGGGGGTCGGCACAGCAAAGTAGGATTGATCGACAACTGGTGCGAACACAACGCGGAGGACGCCGTGGCCTCGTTTATTATTGTATTGTCAGCGTCGTGGTAACAGGCGGCCCCGTAAATATGCACAATTTATGGATCCATCTTGCTGTCGTGCCCCCGGTGCTCGCAGGTGTTGTGGGTATTATTTTGCTGGCCTCCCCCCTGCACGATATATTCTCCGTTATAGACACGCTGAGCAAAATTCCAGTGTCAGCAAAAGAACAAGCTGTCAGCCATGTTGTGTTGAGAAACGTTGACGCATCAAACCTCGGAATGTTTGGATGTCGTGACAGAAAAGGTTTGTAGCTAAGTCTTTAAAATGACCCAAGATCATGAGACTTCATTCATCACATAATTTAATTTAATTTATTTTCTGGAACACCTCTTCCCTCTGGAGGCTTTTTCTTCATAAACTCATAGATTCTTAACAAAGATGGACGTTGCCTCTTCACTTCCCATCATTGTAAGAAAAGAAAAAGAGAATGTATGTGGAGATATTCACCTGGTGCTGGTTGGTCTCTGGCCTTGGAGGAACTGAATGTTCCAGGGATTCATTTAAATGTCAAAGTCCTGCTCTCCAGCATTAAACATAATGCGAGTGAAGGATCAATTTGTTTT